GACCCAAAAAGAAAGTAAGAACCAATTTCTCCGATATTTATTCATTTGGAATTAAGTTTGTGTTGATGCATATTATGGACTCACGTACATTAATGGCCTGAGATCAGCCATGCGTCTGGGCGACCGATCGTAGCATAATCGCTAAGATTTAAGAAATATGAAAAAGTAGCTACCATAAGGCAATGGTTGGACCGGTCTCCAGGAATGATGCATGAATTTCTCATTAATACAAGAACAGATTGCGTACAGAAAAGTGAATACACAATGTGCTTGATACGCTGACTATTGCAGGAGCTTCAACTTCACAAAGTTAAACTTGTGTAGTTGTACCCCAAGATATCTGACTAACGATAACATATCTAGAGTATGCAACTCATTGACCTGAAATCCCCCTTGCTGTCACCACTCAGTTCCCGCCCCCGAAACCACGAGGACTGGGCCGAGACGCTGAGCCAACAAACTGCCTCTTTGAATCAGTTCGTCGTTTCCGTCTTGCAGTCCCGGGAGGAGCCTGATAAGAGAATCCAAACCATGAAACATTGATAAACAAGCATCTCCCAAGCAAAGTTAATAACAATTGAACATAAGCATGGAAAAACTAAAAAGCAGGGACATAGTTCATTAGCATGCATATAGATTACAGAGCAGAAGCTGAATGGAAAATACGGCACCTTTTGTTCATTTTTTAGGGATTCCTCAAGATTGTTCAGTGCAGGAATAGATCCGCCTTCCATTACACCCATTAGATTCTTCATTCGAACTCGCATTTGGAAGAGTTGAGCAACAAGTTGGCTCACCTAATATTCACATCATTAAGAGCATATGGTTAAATGTAGCAGCTAATTTTATATTGTTACTCAACATATAAAACCCTTCTTTTCAGGGAAGCTAATACAAGGACAACATGTCAAACATAGATAGCCACTTCAAACCTGCTGCTCTGTTTTCCCAGACTCTTGAGCAATTCTTTTTCTCCTTGTGACAGATTCTGCCAACAACTCTGGCTGCTCCTTTTCCTCTGTGATCGAAGATGAAAATCAGAAAGCCAAATATAACCCACAGTGCACCAGGAAGTAACTTTAAAGTATCACCACTAAATGGCAGATTCAATAAATAAAAAAGAATAAGAGACCAGGGGTCATTGCTTCAATCATTGCTTCCATTATCTTTAAACTCTTCTCTGCTTCTCGAATTTGTGCAGGAGTAACCTGTTCATTAGGTAAATGAGAAAGTTCAAAGAATTAAATACAACCGAAAAAAGGAACTTGCTGGATCTCAACAACTATCAAATTTTCAGGTTCATAAGTAAACATGGAGAACGGCCACCACAAGAGCGGTTCTAAAACACCCCTTCAAGGTATGCCACAACAGACATAAAAGCCAGAGAACCTATCAGAAAAATAATGCGGGAAAATTGGAAAACAAACTTTCATACCTTCCCCATACCAGGGATCATTCCAAGAACACGAGTCATGGAACCCATGCGTGCAACAGCACGAGTTTGCTTCAGGAAATCATTGAAGTCAAACTTTGCGCTCATTATCTTCTTTTGCAATTCTTCAGCATCTTCTTGGCGCATCTATATTGACAACTCAATTATAACCATGTTTAATGTAAATATTTAGGGAATCTATAGTGGAAATTACAAACCAAAAACAAAAAAGAAAGAAAAAGAACTTACAACTTCTTGTGCCTTCTCCACAAATGAGAGAACGTCTCCCATTCCTAATATGCGTCCCGCCATACGATCTGGGTAAAATGGTTCGAGGTCCTCCATCCGCTCTCCTCGCCCAACAAGTTTGATTGGCTTTCCTGATACCTGTCATTAACTCATTATTAGGAAAACAATTACAGAAAAATATTTTCAGTAGCTTAACTATTTTAGCAAGAAGAGATACTTCAACAGTTAACAAAACTCCTTATGAAAAAGAATTGCCACCAAGAAACGTCAAATGACCGTAGTCATACTATCTTCAACAGTAACTCAATAATTGCCACCAAGAAAGAAACCCACAATGAGCCAACAACTGCAGTAATACTATCTCCCATCACTCAAATTTACAAAACAATTCCAGAAGACATCTCCATCTTGATCAAAGGATCTGAACAACCTCCACTGGAGCAACTTTATGATGGCATGTGAAAACGCAACATTATGTACTCTGAATGCTAAAGAGGAATGCACATATTATATCTTGTTCAAATATTGTTACACTCCACGAACAATATTGAAAATAAAATTCATGACAAATTATACAAAACTAAATATCATAAGTGATTCTTCCTCTAGAAAGAGTTAATTATCTCTTCTCTTGAGATTAGAGTTAATTTTCTCAACTCTTGAGATTTTCAAATCATGATTCTGCTATACCATAAATCAATTACTCTTAGTATTGCATTCCCCTGATATTTAATGATGAAGAAATGGGGCAGAACAAGCGAGATTACTATGACAAATAAGTAATGCAACAACAGCCAAACCTCTTTAACACTCAAAGCTGCTCCACCTCTGGAATCCCCATCTAGCTTTGTTAAAATAGCTCCAGTAATCCCAATCTCTAAGTTGAATGTTGTGACTAAAGCTGCAAAACTCAAAGAAGATAGTCAGCCTATTTCTAGAAGTATTCATAATTCTCTTTGTGACATGGTTATATTACACTTTCTGAAAATCAATAACTGGAATTGTGCCGGTTGTGTATTTGAAGTTTTGAACGCACGAAGATCATCAAATGGGATGCAAATTGTTAACAATATGGTTCAAATCAATGAATGTGGCTACAAAACTCATAATTTAATTTGCATAGGTGTGAATTTGTTTTTTTTTTAAATCTCGAACATTAAGTGCAATTAATTGCCTATGTGGAACTCTTATGTGTACATGATATTGCAGATAGATCGTACACAGTAACACGTGCTAATTTTGCTTCTATATCCAATTTCGCAGCAATAACGGAAGAAAGGAAAAGAAAATAGAATATGTATAATTTGGGTGATTAAACTTTAGAGTATTAAAAGCTCAAAAAATTGAATGATAAGTCAGAACACCTGCAGCTTCTTGGCCAGTCATTGCATCCACAACAAGCAAAACTTCTGTGGGGTTCAATACGCGCTTAACTTCTTTCAATTCATCCATCATTCCTTTGTCTATCTGTTAAATAAAAGAAAACAAAACAAAAAGAAACCCCAGCCAAAAGTTAACACAACCAGTAGACTTTCGCAAGACATCATATCAGAATTACCCAATAATCACATGTGTAGAAGAATTACCTGAAGCCTTCCAGCAGTATCCATTATTACTACATCTATGTTCTTCTTTTTGGCCTCCGCTAAACCTTGCCTAGCTATTTCTGAGGGTTTAGTGTCAGTCCCTGCTGTATATACTGGCACCTTTACCTGTTACAAGCTATGAATTTAACATAAGAATGAAAACATACCAAAAATAAAAATAAAATGAAAATGTAATCTGCCACTTTGTTGACAATGAAAATTCAATACCTGGTCACCTAAAATAACAAGTTGGTCAATGGCAGCAGGTCTGTATACATCACCAGCAATCAGCATAGAACTCTTCCCCTGTGATTGATGTATGTCATGGGGTCAGAAAAAGGAAAATAGAAACAAAAAAGTAAACTACACATAGCTCCAATGCATATATCAATGAACAAGGAAAGAGGGATGCTTGTGGAAATGCACCTGTTTCTTAAGGTAATAAGCCAATTTTGCACATACGGTTGTCTTCCCGACTCCTTGTAAACCAGCCAATAAAATAACAGTGGGGGCAGATTTTGCAAAAACAAGTTCAGACACCTCTCCGCCCATCAGTTTCACTAGCTCATCATTCACAATCTGAAAGAAGCACCAACTGAGTATCATAATTCATTAGAAGTCAACACTCAACAGAGACTACCTAGCTTTCCACTGAAACGAGCAAGAGAATCCTATCTTCGTATAGCATGAGAAACTAGTTACCTTGACCAATTGCTGATCTGGTTTCACTCCTCGAGTAACCCCAACACCAACAGCCTGATCACTGACAGCTTGCACAAACCTTCTTACAACAGGAAGGCTCACCTATTAACACAGCAGGATAATGTAAATAAACCACCTTGCCTTACACATAGGAATCAAAATTCAAAAGACCACTCACATCTGCTTCCAAAAGAGCCCTCCTTATTTCTCTCATAGGCTCCACAATATTCTCCTTGGTCAAAACCTCTGTAGCACAAAATACAGCAATCAATGTGAGCATACTATGGAATTTCAAATGCTTCCAAAAAACTAATAAAAATCCCCACTTGATACTAGACAATTTGACTAAAACATAGAAGAAGAAAAAGGGAAAAGAAGCAAAACCTTCGCCTTTGAGCTTGTTCCAAGCCGATTCGAGGCCACTTGTCAATTGGCCAAACATTTCAGCTCTCACAATGCCCCGCAACTCTTTTCTAGTAATCGTAACTTGCTTGGAATTCACCCAACCCCATATCTCTCTCTATCAACAATTTTGAGCAAAAGTATGAAACTTTCAGTGCTATATTTAAATTCTTTTCCTACGTTTTCTCGGGAACCAAACAGAAAAGAAAGCGAAACCCCTTTGAGGCTTTGAACTTACAGTGAACAAGTTTCGAGAAGTGAGCCAAGCAGGAGTGCGTGAAGCAGTCCAAGAAGAGCCCAGCTTAGCCGTCGAGCTCCTCGCCGCGTACTTCGAATCGTAGAAGCCTCTGTTCGTGGACACAGAATGCGACGTCGTTGAGAAATGGCGGGAAGCAACGGTCGAGAAATGTACGGCCTCCATCGCCGTTTAGATATTTCTTTTCCAGTTTTCCGGACCAAAGCTGATACTTGCTCTATCCAGGCCTATTATCCGCTTGTCTGGTTTGCTTAGGTGCTTCGCGTACCACCGCATTATCATAGACCCTCCAATTTCACGGAACAAATTTATAAATTTGCCATCCAATTACAGCGGTAACTCCCGCGAGGGAGTTTTCGGTAATTTCATATTTTGATTTTGTAGCAAAACGCACCGTCTCTCCCTCTACCGCCATGACCACCACCCACAATGGCCCAACCCAATAATACTCCATGGAACACTCGCTTACGAGAGCTATCGAAGCAATGTCTCTTCTTCGAAGCCCTCACTGTTTACCGCCAAATGCTCCGTCATGGCCACTCACCCAACGCTTTCACTTTCCCCTTCGCTCTCAAATCCTGCGCAGCCCTTTCGCTCCCTTTGGCCGGTTCCCTGCTCCATTGCCACGTCATCAAAACCGGCTGCGAGCCCGAACCATTTGTGCAAACTTCATTAATTTCTATGTACTGTAAGTGTTGCTTGGTCGACGATGCACGTAGAGTGTTCGATGAAAATCCCCACTCGAGAAAGCTAACTGTTTGCTACAATGCTTTGATATCTGGGCACACTTCAAATTCGAAATTTTCTGATGCGGTTTCGTTGTTTCGTCGGATGAGGGCGGCGGGTGTGGAGGTTAATTCGGTTACGATGTTGGGTTTGGTTCCGGGGTGCGCGGCTCCGGTGCACTTGGGTCTCGGGATGTGCCTTCATGGTTGTAGTGTTAAGTGTGGCTTTGACGTTGATTTGTCTGTGACGAATTGTTTGCTGACAATGTACGTGAAGTGTGGGTCGGTTGATCGTGCAAGGAAGCTGTTTGATGCAATGCCTGAGAAGGGTTTGATTACTTGGAATGCGATGATTTCTGGGTACGCGCAGAATGGGCTTGCTACTCATGTCTTGAACTTGTACAAGGAGATGGAATCTTGTGGTGTTAGTCCTGACCCTGTGACACTAGTTGGTGTTCTTTCGTCTTGCACTCACATTGGTGCACACGGTGTTGGACGCGAGGTAGAACGACGGATAGAGTCTTGTGGATTTGGTTCCAACCCGTATTTGAACAATGCTCTGGTTAATATGTATGCTAGGTGTGGTAATTTGGTGAAGGCTCATGCTATTTTCGATGCCATGCCTGAGAAAAGCTTAGTTTCTTGGACAGCAATTATAGGTGGGTATGGGTTGCATGGACATGGAGAGATTGCATCAGAGCTCTTTAATAAAATGATTATGACTGGAATTAGACCAGACAAAGCAGTGTTTGTGACCATTTTGTCTGCCTGTAGCCATGCGGGATTGACGGATAAGGGGCTGGAGTATTTCGCTGCAATGGAGAAAATATGTGGGTTGCAGCCTGGTCCAGAGCATTACTCTTGCATGGTAGATCTTTTAGGCCGCGCAGGTCGACTCCAGGAAGCCAAGGAACTAATTGAGTCAATGCCGGTAAAGCCTGATGGTGCAGTATGGGGTGCCCTCTTGGGTGCTTGTAAAATACATAAAAATGTAGAGATAGCAGAGTTAGCTTTTGAACATGTCATTGAGCATGAACCAACCAATATTGGTTACTATGTGCTGTTGTCGAATATATACTCCGATGCAAAGAATCTAGAGGGGGTTCTAAAGGTTCGAGTTATGATGAGGGAGAGGAAGCTCAAGAAGGAGCCGGGGTGTAGCTATGTTGAATGTAAAGGAAGAGTTCATGTTTTCTTGGCTGGGGATAAAACCCACTGTCAGACAGAAGAAATATACAAAATGTTGGAAGAATTAGAAACTTTAGTGAAGGAACCTGGTCGAGGAAGAAACGAACAACAACTCATCGGTGCTAATGTTCACAGTGAAAAATTGGCAGTCGCATTCGCGCTCTTAAACACCGGACCGGGGACCGAGATCGTAGTGATAAAGAACTTGAGGGTATGTGGAGACTGTCACTTGTTTATAAAGTTGGTTAGCAAGATTGTGGATCGCCAGTTTGTTGTCAGAGATGCAACTCGTTTTCATCATTTCAGGAATGGGGTCTGTTCTTGTAAAGACTACTGGTGATACCCTTTTAACAGCTATCTATGAATCAACAAGCTTTGGTTAAAAAGTTATTCCAAACTGTTCCCAGCATGCTTCTAATTGTGCATTGCGTCAAGATTGATTCAAGTTTCCAAAAGTTTGAATTGGAAAGGAGATCTTGGATTCAAAAAAATCTTGGGTATTTTAGTGAAACTCCCTTCTCTTTATTGTACTTTGAATCAATGTATTGTTACACAGAAAATCCATGGACACATTAAATTGGGATAGGGATATCAAATGGATTTTGCTCATCACTTGAAGGAAACTTGTAACCCTTGTCTTTTGCATTGTCTCAATAACCAAAAATCCAATACGTAACGACGGACCTTGAAGCTATCTCAAGATTTTGAATCCAAGATCGGGAGTTTCACTAAAATACCCAAAATGGGGGCTGAAATTATAAAAATACCCAACACCCAAAACACTTTATAAACATACCCAAAACTCATCATTACACACACTCAAAATCCATTTATAAACATACCCAAAACCCATCATTACACACATACCTAAAACTCATTTTGGGTATGTTTCTATGTTTAAATAGTGCTTGGGTATTTTTATAAATACATGTCTAGGATTGGGTATTTTTATAAATATCTATAAAGAGAATCACTGGCAAGGTTACTCTCCTACCATACCAGTGGGGCAAGACGTAGTTAAACGTTTCTAGGTGATTCTTTTATAAGAAGCCCAAAAAATCATGTCATTAGGGTAGAATATTACTCTCCAATGAGGAGAAAATATTTTTTTTTTATGTCATTTGCAGACTTAAAATAACTAATAATTCATACTTCCCGAGTTGCTAGAGGCAAGACTAACCCTCAGTTTTGTACAGATATCTGTTTTATGAATGTTGTCAGTAAATAATCTTCAAGTGGTCAATTAAAAATAAAGTATTTATATTTCTAAAAATAGAATTGGTTTCCAACGTACAAGTTACAAACAATGGAGAAGGGCCATGGGGGCACTGTTCAGAGAGAGAGAATTTTGCCTTTCAATTGCTTAAATATGACATGATTGGAATTTTCAGTTTCGGACATAAGTTCCAATTGAATAATAGAATTACTTATAAAAACTACTAACAATTCAATCCGCCTATTGGTAAAACTGCATCAGTTCCTGTAACACATTCATCTTCAACAAATGGAATCGTTCTCCGCACTGTCAATTTCATGGGAGCATTTCCTTTCTCTGCAAGTAGTTTAATATAAATTGTGAATTTTTTTTTCCCATTACCTTCATTTTAATCCAGAATAATAATCTTTGATTAAATAAAAAGAAAAAGAGAGACAAGACTCTCACCTCCAACAGCTTTATGTTTTTCCATGCAAATGGCAGCATAATGAGAACCGGCCAACTCTAGAAGCGAAAATTGCCAATTGGTTGTGAGGTTCACGGGGCCAAGAGACTCAACACTTATTTCAGATATCTAACAACAACAAAATCAGTGGCTCAAACATCTTAAAGAAATGTAAATTGTATATTATGAGTTATGGTCAATATTTTAGACCAGAAGTGCAATATTTTAGACCATAATTTCTCTACACCACGGCTCATAATACCTGCTCATAATCTTGTAGCCAAACGAATAGCATGCTAAACAGCTATGTTCAATTGTGGACTCTATATCACATGAATTATGAGTTTGATACCTAGGAAGCCTCCACATGTTGCAATAAAATTTCTGTTTTCCATCTCTGACATACCTCAGAATCTATGTCCCCAGAAGGATGAAGGCCCCTCTTAGCTGCATCCCTCACTCGAATGGTAAAGGTCTTAAACGGTGCAGAAGAGAAGCCCTTCCCCAATGCTTTCACATATGCCTCCTGGAAATGAGATCCATGGCAAAAGAAAAAGCTTGAGAAAAACATAACCTACACGTAACTCTCAAAATTCAATTAAGCGGAGTTATGCGTTTTTAGTATATTCTTGAGTTCACATTGAAGTTTTATTGATACTCACTTATTTTCAAATGTTTTTCATTAATCATCCCCACCACTTCTACTTTGCATATGATACTTATAAGTGCTTTCAAGAGTTTCTTTCCCTTGTCTAATCTCTACGGAATTTTTTTTGGACAACTATACAAACAAAAGCTTATTGCAAATGTTAACAGTGTAATGCTAACAGATTACACAACTACCCATGTATACCCAGCAGAATGTACCAATTTAATCACATAAAAGAAAATGTGTGCACTCTGAAAAATGTATAAGAGCTTAACTTGATGCATTATCGTTGTTCAAGCAGTTTCACAGACCTTGAGAGTCCATAATTTTATAAACTGTTGACGCTGAATTTCAATGTCCGAAATAGAAGTTAAATGTTCCACTTCATGAGAAGAAAAGTACCGTCGAGCAAAAGCTAAGATATGGTTCTTCAACTTCCGTTGCTTATCTTCCACATCTATACCAATCTAAAATAATTAGAGGAAATCACATAAGTTCAACAATTTTTTACATATATACTCATTGACACCCTAATATAATCCAAAGACTAAATCCAATATATCAGTGGCCCCTTGAATACTCGCAATACTTACTGGTGAATCCACAGTTACTCCACAAGCTATCAAGGAAGACGTGTGTGAGATGTTGAAATGCAATGGTGGTGGCTGCCAGTCATCTGCAATTTGCCACTCTACCTAGAATAAGATGATTAAAATGTGGACCCAAAAAAAAGCTGAAAAAACATAATGGTAAGAAAAATCAACCAAGTAAATGGGAGCATAGAAACAATTTTCTCAAGACATCGATGGGTAAGAAAAAAGAAGCATACCTCAGGCTTCCCATGATTGTTCTTTTTAAACTTTAAGGATCTTGGATCTACTCGATGGTTTGTCTGATCTAGTATGAAACAGAAATGTTTAGAACAGTCACAATAACCACATAAACAACATGAGTAGTCATGTTTTTTAAAGCAAAATGAGAGGACCTACATATCTAGAAATGGTAGTCCGAACCAATGCCCGGGCAAGCAAGGCTCTTTTCTTGAGCTCCTCTCCACGCATACCCAAAACACTGTCTTTCTCAGACATTGACAGAAGCTCAGAGTACCGATTCAAAAGGCTTTCACTCTTCACCTCCTCAGGTAAAACATACCACAAATGACTTTCCCTAAAAAAAACCATCATTTCTAATAAGGAAATCTTTGATTTTGATTAAACAAAGCAGTCAATGGTATTGAATAATTTGTGTGGTAAATAAATACATACATTCGAGATGGAAGTTGAACTGGCAGCAGAGGTGACTGAGCAGAGCAAAAATTGCTTTGGAGGCCATGAATATTCATTCTCAAAAACGCTCTGCGTCTGAATAAAAACATGCATACTACCAATCTGTGACACTGTAACCAAATTTGGGTCGTGGACAGAATCACGATTTTAATATGAACAGACTGAAAAACAAAGCAAAATCAAAACTGGGTAACCTCTCAAGCAAGCAGTGAACTTTCCTGGTCTATACGAGCAAAAGAAGAATTGCTTTGAGAATTGAGAGAAAGAAGAAACGAGGATAGAGTACCTTGGATTCTTTGAAAATGTTGTAAGGCTGCTTTTTTTTTTTTGGGGTCGAAAATTGAGGCTGCTTATTAAACAACGAACTTGCTCCGACGGCTCGGACGATGAAAGCAAAGACGGAGGTGGAAAAGTTTGGAACTTTGGAGGTTGGGTTTTGGGCTGGGCGGGCTTTATGACACAAAATATGGAGCTGGGCTATCTCGAACCCAAGTCACCTCCAGCTTTTCCTTTGTAGGTAACAATGGATGCACACGTGGCAATTATGTGGCAAACACATAAACAAAGAAGTGGGCCCCACCGTGCCACATAAGAGGAATTAACAGAGTTTTTTTACGGAGTTGACGGAATAGGGTAAATTGAGACATGAAGTTGGACTTTAAGGGGTAAAGAGTGAGTCATTTCGAGTTTCAAATGGCAAAATGAGACTGAGATAAAGTTTCAGAGGGACAAATCAATAATTAAGCCTTAAATGAATATCGTCCAAAAAAATAGCCTTAAATGAATATGTAAAACCCAATTTGTGTTCACTCTTGCTCTATTATACAAGTGGAGATTAGGAGACCCGTAAGTTAAACGCTTAAGCACAAGAGCAAGAGTAAATGCGCTTGACCACCCAAGCTACCAAATCTCTTGCACCTCACAAACCTCACAAATTTTTAAAACTATTCACGGATTGAAAATAAGATGTTGCTGGTCCTAAAAAGTCGTCATGCGTGCCTTCCTCCGTAAAAACGTAAGGGGAAGTGCAAATTGACTTTTCTAGTATGGAGTAAATCTCATCATTGTAACTTATGTTTATTTTTGTCAAGCATTGTAATTTGCAAGGGATGTAGTCAATAAATGTGGGATATGTACCAGTATTCAATAGAGCTGGATGAGCAGACAAATTTTTGAGCACCGGAGAGGCATTGTAGTTTTAAGATTATTTGATTCATTGAAATGATAAACGTTTCCATGATATGCTTATTTTCTTTGTTAGTGAAACAAAGAATTTTCAACCATTTTCAATCTCTACTTGAAAAACAGAAAATGTTAGAATGGGTTAGGGAAATGTCCACAAGTGACAAGGTTAAGAAATTTCATCCACACACAAACTTAAAGCACACATAGACACATACACAATATTTCCACATGGGAGACAGAAACATAGACCAACTTTTTTCACCACTCCCCAACACCCAAAAACAGCCCCAAACACTCTTCAACGCCAACCTTCAGCCAGCTCTGTCCTCGAATTAATGCGGCTAAGAATTCCAGGTCTCTTGCTCTTGTCTGCAGGCCCAGCAGTCTGAATCATTAGCTGCTCGCTAACCTTCTTGGATCCCTTCTTCAGATTCGAACCGCTTGATTGACCTGTTTTGCTCTTCCAAATGTTTGGTTGAGCCTCTCTACCTGGACCTGTTGAACCATCTTCTTGGAGCCCATTTGTCAAAGAGTTAACTTGGGATACAACCTCACATGGACAATTATCAGCCAGAAACCAATTTCCTCCAGGAATGATATTCTTGATAGAAGATAGGAAAGTTTGAGATCCAGTTCCAGTTGTGGAGTCATCTTGTGCATAATGAGCCGGGCTTTCTAAATCGGGTTCTTTACCAACAAATACGTTCTCCTCTTCATTTTCCTTATTAGCCTCCTTCTTCGCCTCTTTGAGATATGGTTGAAAAGTACTTTGGTGTCCATCCTCATCAGTAGGCTCTAGGCGGGGGGCAGGG